ATAAAGTTAAAAAAAAAATGTTTTTTTTTAACTTACAAGATAAAGTAAATGTTAATTATTTTTAAATCTTGTGTTTTATTATATATTTATTTTATCTTGTGTTGATTATAATTATTTTTAACATTTAGTTGTGCATCTTTTGAGTACTGGGCTGACATTTTGATTTTTTTCCCAATAATATTAGGAACTCGGTACTTTTGCAACCCCTAAAAATATTTTTTGTTTAAAAAACTTCAAATTTAGCGTTATTAATGCCATAAATTATCGTGATTCAAAAGCGACTTTTTTTTAAATAGTCCACTGTTCAACCTTAAATGTGTTCTCTATAATAAAATTTTATTATAGAGAACACATATTAGGTTGAACAGTGGACTATTTAAAAAAAAGTCGTTTTTGAATCACGATAATTTACACAAATATGTTTATATGTATAGTAATATATATATATATATATATATATATATATATATATATATATATATATATATATATATATATATATATATATATATATATATATATATATATATATATATACTACAAAATACAGGAGTAAAACAAAATAAATGGAATATAAATATATATATATATATATATATATATATATATATATATATATATATATATATATATATATATATATATATATATATATATGTATATATGTATATATATATATATATATATATATATATGTATATATATATGTTTAATTATTTACTAATGTATACATAAATATATTCCATATATACAATGTAGTCACACTGTTTAGATGCTGTTAAAATAAATCCTTCGACTTCAGGAGCAGTGTCTGAAGAGGTTGAACGTTGGATAAAAAGATACTTTCAACTTTCCGGTGATCGAAATCGCGGCCGTAAAGCTCGGGAAGATCTTAAAAATTCGTTGCAAAAATAAATATTTGATTCATTCAACGTTTTTGTTTTTATTATTTCATTATTAATTAAAACACTTTTGGTTTACAATAAATTTCAAATATACTTATTTGTTTGAATTTTATGGAATAACACATTTTCACGGAAACGGCTAATAATAACGTGCTAGTGTATGTAGTAAAAGTATCTAGTAAAAAGTAACGCTTTAGAGCTGACACGCAAACACGAAAGATTGTTGGAAAATGATCACGGATCAGTACTGTCAACAGATGCTGGCAAGCGATCGCGGGCCAGTGCTGGCAAATAATCGCAGGCCAGTGCTGGCGAACGATTGCGGGCCAATACTGGCCCATGGCTAGCGGGCCAGTGCTGGCCCAATGGCCGTTTTGATGCAGGCCCGTGATCGACGGCCGTCATCGCGCCGTAGTCGCAAGCGGAACTGGGCCAGCATTGGGCCGCTAGCGGGAGGCTGTCTGGGAAGGCATAAAAAAGACGCCTTTTATTTGTCTAAAGATGTCTTTTTTCCTACTGGGATATTTGGCGCTTTTATGCCAGTTTTTGCTATTGTTTCGTACTCATGCGAATGTTTGCAAATTCTTTTGGCGCACTTATGCCAATCCGCAATTTTTGCCAAAAATTATGACCAGTTTTTGCAACTACTTCGCACTTATTCAGCCTCCCGCAATGAAGCAACTTGTTTGCAAGACAAAGAATATTAGAAAAAGTGACATCTAAACCCCAATGGCTGCATATACTTTTTTGGCTGCAAGCACCAGTAAAATGTCAAACCTTAATCCAAACTCATATATCTTCAACCTTTTGTATAAAACTACTATTTAGAGTTAAAGAAGAGCGTGTTGATTTATCTACTTTAAGTTTACGAAAGTTTGAGATGTCAAATAAAATATCCATATTTTTAATAAAAAAAGCTGTTGACAAAACATTTTCAGGCAATAGTTTTGCAGAAGCGTATTCAGTCAAAGCAGTAGCCACTTGACTACTAAAAATTTGTGTTACCAATTTTACTCGCATGGCTAATAGTGATCCTGGATCTAAATGACGATCTGTCAACTATGGCACAAGTCGCACAGCATTTACCTTGTCTAAATTATAAAGTTCTTCCAGATGCTTCCACGATACTATTTTACCATCCGATAAAATGTCATGTTTTTATTAAATTGTTTCTAACATTTTTATAAGAAGTGGTGGATCAAATATTATATAAACTTTTGCTCCTGTAGTTGGATGTGAAATTTGTTGTTATAATAATGAAAATCCTAAACATTTGAGAGCTCTTGTTGACAAATCTTAACTTGAGATAATAAATATTTATTTTTAAAAGTAGTTTTGACAGTAACATTACTTGTACTGCTATTCTCAACACTATTTATTTAATTTAATTCGACTTTATCGTTGATTTCTTTTTTTTTTTGTATTTTATCTTGTAAATGAAGTCTGTTTATAGGCTGCTAACTCTTTAAATTTAAGGTAGAAGGTTGATTTGGAAAGTTAAAAATTGTTGGTGCAGCAGTTACAAGTGTTGTTTTACTACCATTATTGGTAAGGTAGTATTGGAAAGAATCAAAATGTTCACCACAAATAGTATATTTAAGATTTAGTTCTTCACATGATTTTGTATCGAGATCTTGACGACGACAATTACGAACACAATGCTTGCATCTAAATAATATGTTAAACCTAATTAATTTACTGGAATTATTTACATCAGATTATGTATAAGTATTTTTTGTTTCATAAAATTTTAAGTAAAACAATGTTTTAAAAGCTTCTTTAAATTCTTGATATACTAGTAGACTAATAATTACTTATCTATTTTTATCCTTTGGAAATCTAAAAAAAGTTATATTATTTCCAACATTCTTTCCACGCTTATTTACACAACTGATGGCAGAGCAAAAGGCTATTTAATATTGTGAGTATTTATAGAAAAAGCAACTTAATTCTTGAAAAGCGATATCTAATATTATAGTACATAATATATTTAGCAGACAACAAAGATGTATAGTAAATTTATGTTGTTTATAATATTATAAACAACATAACATCCCGCAAGACATCCCATAGTTCAATGTACGGCCAATTACACATAAATATATGGATTTTTAGTCAAGTTGGCAGGCTTTGGTGTGCACATACATCAACTAGGGTTTCGGATTGGGCAATAAGTTGAAAAAATAGTTATTGATAAAAAGTGTTTAAAAATCAATGCAAACTTCCACGCGGAAAAACTTCCACGCGGAAAATTATATAAATTATATTTTTGAAGTCACCGTTTAAAGATGCATTGCGGAAAACGCTTTATATTGTCGGTTTTATTTTTTTTTAACTTTTTGGGGGTAAATTTAATGATCGCATGTATTGTTTAAATGATAAAAAGTTAACAAGTTTTTCTTTTAAAATAGGCTAAATCTTTTCTTTTATATCTCGGTCAAAAGGCGGATCTACATATCTCTATTATTTAAAGAATTATAGATCCGGCCCCCTGATTAAAATATACCTCAGTCAGAACTTAACAGAGCGTTAGTAACTTTATTAAAGCTTTTTAGTGTGAAGAAAAGTTCGAAGTTGTATCCTGTAATGCAAGTTAAAAAAAAAACGAAATAAAAACTTAAAATCTAAAAAAATATACGAATCGGTGAATGTTAAAAGGGCGGAAGTCCAACGATGTAAACTTTTGGAAAACTAAAAAAAACAGCACTGCTTCCTCAGTAAATTTTTGTTAATGGTTTAACAATTGGTTTTTTGAAGGGGATAGTGTTTTTCATCTTAAAAGCAAAAATATATTTTTTTATATTTATTTTTAAAGAAACAATAAACCAATTAACACTGTGGGTTTCAGCCCTTTTAACATTCAACAAATAATTACTGCTTATTTTATTATGATTTTAGTTTTGAGCTATAGAAAATAATGTAACAAACTGCAATAAATCTTTACAAAGTGTATACTTATGAATTGTTTATACATTTTAACAGAAATTTTAAGGAAAAAAAGGTCTATTACAGAAATTTTATCGACTATGCTTAATCATTTTCCCCAGCATCTTCTGCTTCTCCATCGTTGCTATCTGCTGTAGGTCATTGCAGTAGTTCATTATAAAAGTCAATATGATCATGTGGAATATACTATCTTAAGTCATTTAACATAGCAGACTTTATTGGAACTTTTCCGTTTGGGTAAAGAAGCTGTTCTGGCAGGTTCACTTTGTTTTGAGTATTTTTTCTCATCATAAAAGTATGTTTGACAATACAATTTATAATTTTTAACCGACTTTACATTGACCTATGCTGTCACAATCGTATTAAAAACGGTGAAATTTGCTTATTGCAAACTAAGTTTGTTGGTTTCTAGGTTTACCCATTGTTTCAATTGAGGTAACGTTTCTTTTATAGTGGACTGGCCACTAACTTTTAACATCGTAAACTAGAGATGAACTCTCTACATTACCCACTAAAAACTCGTATTGATTACTACTTTTTAATATAATTTTTTTAATTTCTTATACGCTCTACACTCTGTCATGCCTTCTTAACTTTTTTTTTTATAATCGAAAAGTCACGGTCACATGGCAAAAAGTTGTGTCCTCTGATTGGAAAAATTGATTGATCTTTTTAATCCACTTATTATCAGTAAGCGCCATAAAAAGGTTTGAGAAACAATGGTTTTTATTTTGCATCCCACAATTATCGGCATAAAAGTTGAGTTCATCATACATAAGGCAGACAGGTAGTGCAATAGAAAGGAGCAAGTTTTATTTAGAGACTTTCTAGCCTTTCTATCGTGAATAGAAAATACACTAACCGTTAACTG